TAGCCTAGTGCAAAAGTATTTTCTTGAAACATGCATTCCCAGATTTTAGGTTTCTGCTCACCAGTTATGCTAAAGGGTTTTCTCAGAATGCCAAGAATTTTTAGTTGTTTCCTTCTTTTGTGGATAATTTCTTGCAATTCATTTGTGTTTTTCTGGAAATTGGTATTTGGGGAAAGATAAGTTTGGAGTTAATGGTTTAGGATCATTAGTTTATTGAACTATTTGTTGTTGTTTGGTATTGCTACTCACAATCTAACACATATTTCTTTTTCCTTGAAGGATCCTGAGGGTCTCTTTCCATGTGTTCTTGGTCATGAGGCTGCAGGGTACATGCTCTCTTTGTGTCATAGTGTTTTATTGAATGTAGTAGCTTCCGTTGAAGCTAAATAATTGTTTTATTTGGATACCCTTTTTCTTGATCTTAGCCCTCTAAAATTTGCAGGATAGTAGAAAGTGTTGGTGAGGGAGTGACTGAGGTTCAGCCAGGAGACCATGTTATACCTTGCTACCAGGCAGAATGCAGAGAATGCAAGTTCTGCAAATCAGGAAAGACCAATCTTTGTGGTAAAGTAAGGGCTGCTACTGGAGTGGGAGTTATGATGAACGACCGCAAGAGTCGATTTTCTATCAATGGAAAACCGATCTATCATTTCATGGGAACTTCAACCTTCAGTCAGTACACTGTTGTCCATGATGTTAGTGTTGCAAAGATTGACCCAGCAGCTCCTCTGGAGAAAGTCTGCCTTCTCGGGTGTGGTGTTCCAACTGGTAACTTGACCTCCAAACCTAATATGTGATTGGACTATATCTTGTGATTTCCTTCAGGCTAATTCATGAAACATATTCTGTAGCATCTCTGATTTAATGCTGGCCCTTACTCCATTAAGTCCATTTCTAATCCATTCTTGATCAATAATATATATGTAATAAACTGTTGTATTGGTCCTCGAAATATGTGGTTTCATGTGACTTCATCATCATTCTATTAGTTCTTTTTGATTCCTTATTCGCTCAATTTTTGGTCAAAATTACTGCAACACCGGACACCTGCCAAATTGAGAGCACTTCTGAGACAATGTGATGTATGTAAAGGGAAGACAGGATTTTGAGAGAATATACCCCAAAATAAAAGCTAAAAGAGAGAAGTTTAAAAAAAAATATTTTAAAACCAAGTTATAGTAATGGGTCTCTTGGTGTATAAATGATTGAAGGAGCTCTTAGTGTATAAATGATTGATAGAGCAAGGATGGAAATGTATTTAAGTATATTGTTTAGGGAGCATATCGTCATAGTAATTTGATCTTTATGAGTTACAACATAGTGTCTTTTGGTTGTTTATCCAGGTGTCCATCTTATCTATCATTTTTCATCACTTCATGCTGATTTATTCCCCTAGATTAGAAGTTGAGGAGGAAATAAAAATCATAGAATGCCCGTCTAACAATGTCCCTTTGTTCCCTTCCGAAGCCAATACACTCTGTTTTCTTTAGTTTTTGTTAATGGCTAATCACATTCTTACCATACCCATTTTACATTATGTATTTTCTGTCTTTAGGCCTTGGAGCTGTTTGGAACACTGCAAAAGTTGAACCAGGTTCCATTGTTGCCGTCTTTGGCCTGGGAACAGTTGGTCTTGCTGTAAGTATCTAACAATTTGACTGTGTCAAATAATTAAGCTCCTTTAATATATTTATGCAATCTATCTATTTGCTTGTTAGGTGGCGGAGGGTGCAAAAGCTGCTGGTGCTTCACGAATTATTGGAATTGATATTGACAGCAAAAAGTTCGATAGAGGTACAGCTTTGTCCAATCTGTCTAAGATTGTGAACTATGAACTTTTAGGAATAGCAAGTATATGATTAGGTTCCAACTATATTTTACATCAGATTTGTCAGAACTTGAGCTACTCCTAAGTCCTAAGATCACTTTCTTGGTAGACTTTAAATACAAGTTACTAATGTCTAATGTTCAACCAAAAGCTAAATCCCCTAGGGCTTTGGTTCAATGGTAAGAGTGTGTCTCATAATGTATGATTAGGTGCACGTCACAAATTTGATTGCTGTTGCAAACAAAACCTTGAATTTAAGTGGGGGAGGGTAGAAGGGCGGGCCCATTGCCACCGAGTTTCAAACCGTGGGCCAGATGGTCCTCAGGGTTTTCTAGATTATTAAGAAATGTTTGTTAAAAGCCGACAAATGATTTCAGAGTTGGATGTATATCTGTAGGGGCACTTGTAGATATATGTTTTGCAGGTGCTTAGATAAATTTTTTTACATCATCGCTATGTCATTGTTGCATTTTCTCCTCTTCGATTTTGCTGTCGATTCTCAAGCTCAAGCTGTTATTCCATGACTTCTCTCTAGCTAATTTCATATCATTTCAAACTTTAAAATTTTGAGCAAGAGATGTAATATTTTTTGCCAAATCATTTGACACAGTGGGATATGGAAGCAACACCTTAAATATATCTTTCTGAAACTTCCAGATTAGAGGTCATGATTTAATCAGTCATATATCTTGATTATCATCTGTATATTTCTGTATGATAAGCAGTAGATTGCTCTTATAAAAGTCTGATGTATAAATATCTTGTTTAATCTCATAATAGTTCTCTTCTTGGGTGCCGATTATAGGGGGAAACAACTTGTTAAACAAAATAATTTTGAGGCTTATGCCAGATTGAAGTGGCCGTGAAAGTATGTCTGGTTAGATTTGACCAGACTTATTCAAGAAATAGTATTTGAATCAAACTTGAGCACCACAACAGTTTTCATGCTCTAGTATCCTTAATTATTTTCTGTTGTATGGTGCATAAGTTGTCACATCATCTGATACATATATGTAACTGTCATGCAGCCAAAAATTTTGGTGTGACTGAATTCATCAATCCCAAGGAGCATGAGCAACCCATTCAGCAAGTCATTGTGGATCTTACAGATGGTGGTGTTGATTACAGTTTTGAGTGCATAGGAAATGTCTCTGTTATGAGGGCTGCTTTAGAGTGTTGTCACAAGGTAAATTATGCTAGTGTCTAATCAATAAAATTGGAATTTCAGTTTCCCCACCTCTTCTTCACTCCGCTTGAAATTGCTTAGCTTCCCTATCCCACAATTCCCCTTTATCTTTCAATTTTTTTCTTTTCATTTCCCTTCCGATGCAATTAATGTCCCCACCTTTTGAAGAAATTAATCTATTGTACAAGATACTAATGCTGAACATGTCCAATCTTTATTGGAATTGCAGGGTTGGGGAACCTCAGTGATTGTAGGTGTTGCTGCTTCTGGTCAGGAGATTTCTACACGTCCATTTCAGCTGGTAACTGGTCGTGTTTGGAAGGGAACTGCTTTTGGTGGTTTCAAAAGCCGATCACAAGTTCCTTCCCTCGTGGACAAGTATTTAAAGAAGGTCCGTTATTTCCCTTTTCTTTATCTTTCTTCCCTTATTTTACCATTTAGTCACACTATTCATTTATCCAACTCTTCCACTACTAATAGGAAATCAAGGTGGATGAATACATCACTCATAGCATGACACTTGCGGACATAAACAAAGCTTTTGACCTGATGCATGACGGGGACTGCCTCCGTGTTGTCCTGGATATGTTTGTATGAACAAAGTCTGGAGGCACTTTATGTTGCTGACTTTCTGTTTTTGTGCTATTTCTCGGACACACTATTTCCCTTTCCCCTTCCTAATTGTATGTGTGGAATAAAAAGAAAGTAAGAAAAAAAGGATCCATGGGACGGATGAACTCTTTTTAAATGGGGATGCTATTTTATTATCTTTTCAACTAAATGCTCTACTTTCAAGGCTGAACCATCATCATCATTGCTGATTTTAGACTTTGACATAAACCCTTGCCATGTTTGCATAAATGGAATCCTCCCTTTTCCAAAGTACGATGTCGTTGCCGTTGGCCGATGCTAAGTGCTCATATATCTACTGAAATATTGAGAGAGAGAAAAAAACCTCCAAATAGTCGCTTCTTTGGGTCTAAATTCAAAGTATTCCTCCATGAATACAGTATTGGTGCATTTTTTTTTACGTCAAGAGGTTTATCACGTTAGATCTCACACATACTACAGTATAAAATTTTCTTTCTTGCAACATCAATTCTCTACAATAAATTGATATAGTTAAAAAAAAAAGGTAGCATTTTGATTTAGCTGTAATGATGTTTGGACGGAACAAAACAAGAAGCACCTCTCTTCTCATATTCTCACACGGAGTTACTATGTCTACTAAACATAGAGGGAGACGATTGAATATTTCATACACTAAGCTAGCGTTTGGCCATAGATTTTCAAATATTTTTGGCAAATATTATTTGGGTGAAATTTCACCATGTGTTTGGCCATAGTATTTGGGAACAAATTTCACTTTTTTTAAAAAATATGATTTATACCCGTAAATTTAAAAAACTATCAAAACTAACCATAAGTTTGTATTACAAGTCAATTGGATCTTCATTGCAACAAATAACAAGTAGTGTCCATGACACTGAAGCAATGTGGTAGTTTGGAGTGAGCCGATTGTTCCTATGGCAAAACGGCAACTAAATTGTGGACAAAACCAACATAAAAAAAATAGATGAAAATTTGCGAAAGGGCCTAGAGTACACCAACATTGCAAATATGAGGGACTATTAGTATTCGATGTGAAAATACAAGGAGCTTTTAACATGCACCAAATTTTCATTACAACTAAAGAAGTTTGTAAACATTCGTCAAATCAATAATTAGCAAGGGCAACGAGCAACGAAATAAATCATTAGATAACACTTTTTAAGTTTTCTACATGATCACCTTCTCCCCAATAATTTCCTTTAACAAATGACAAAAACATGCTTCATTTTGTTAACAGGTAAACATAATTACCTTCCTTCCCATAATTTTACATCCACAAAAAGCTGAAACCTTGGAGAGATTTGCACAGCTGGTAATCTACAAAATATGAGCAAGAACCCTAACACTCTCTACATGGACAAAATCAACTTATATCGAATGAACCCCAGTTGCATTATCAAACATGGAACGGAGTGTATCGTACATTGAGTGTACTTGCAAGACAATAGGAACTCATAATGGACTTGCAACTCCACGACAGATTCATGCTAGTTCTGGAGGAGACCAATTTCCAGATTTGAAGTCTTTATAGAAGCTGGAGTTCCTCGAGACAACCCAAAACACTATAGCAAAGGATAAGAAAATAATCTTACATTAGATTAGAGTGATAGAACTGCAGTCTGCATAGAGTGCAAATACATCTAAGGAAATAAACTCATACCAGGAAGCCCAGGAACTACAAAACTCGGTTCCTTTAGAACATTATAAAGTGTTGTCTTCTCATTAATTTTAACCCATCCAGGGACATCCTCTGAAAAGAATTGAGTGACGAAAAAATAAGAATAGAACAAGTCCATAAAACGATAGTGAAGGCTCAAAAAAAGATTGAACAAGGTCATTAACATTGAATCAAGGCAAAAGGGGGAGAAAAAACCTAGTTATGTGCATCAACATGCACCATATTTTTCACAGAACAGAAGAGGTACATTATCTGCCTCTAGATTAAGGACATTGAATGTTTTACTGCACAAACACTCTACTTGTACATTTGAACCATGACTGTAATATCTACCTGCTGAAAAGCATGTCAATTTTATATAACAAATGAAACATCCTAGTTCCTTGAAGTTCGTATGAGGATATAATTCCATCCATAGACATATAAAGTCAGCAAAGGAGTGCAAATCATCATATTTTTAAAATGAAAATTTGCAAACCCATGTTGAAGAAAAGGCGAGACAACTGTGATGGTTTGATAAAATCTATGTCTCATTACACTCAAATAAACAATGTGATGAAGTCCAAATATTGTTTTTAAAAAGGAAAGGTTGAACCAAACAATGGAAATCCCTTCTACCAGACCACCAAAGATGAGCACACATTATAATCTGCTGTGTTTTGAATTAGTACAATGGATCTCTTGTTTCTGACACTACGCAGCAGTTCTACTAGAAATTGCAATAATCTTGAAAGAGAAGCTTCCCAAATTTTCATCAGTTGAAATATAGAGATGGGGGAGTGTACCTTGTGAAATGCTACCCTTGGTTGAACTCCGAGCAGAAGCACTCTCCTCATCACCAAAGTCTTCGACATGAGAAGCAGCTGTTCCTTCCAGCAGATACTGAAGAATATCCCGCTTGGATAAACAGACACCAGCACAAGCCTGCTCAATCACAAGTTCAGAACAGAGAAGCATAGTACAGCAACATGAACTGGTGGCACTAAAACAGGAAAGCACTAAGAGCTTATTAACTGGAAACTAAGAGATGATCCCTGATAGACACACTATAGCGAATCCCTCTAATCAACTACAACAGTTTCCAATGAAATTGCATATTTGGCATGAAGAATTCGAGTCAAACAGATATTAGACAAACATTGGATTATTCTTGGCCTCACCAGTCTACTACACGACCTTAAGTAACTGTAGTTAAGAGGATCGAAAGATGTATCAATAGGGACCATAATAACCATCAAAAACCACCTTAACAATCTACACCTAGTCAGATAATTTAACCTAAGGGTAGAATAAATGACTGAAGGATGAAATATCAAATCTAGAACCCAGTCTTTACCCCAATAACTCAAGCACATTATACGAGCATTCAGAAACTGCACGGTTGCTATCATTTGGACTACAAAGTCAGTAGAAAATGGGAAAATTATGTAGTACTCGCAGGAGACTATCATGAAGTCAGTAGAAAATGGGAAAATTATGTAGTACTCCCAGGAGACTATCATGAAGTCAGTAAAGTTCCAGTTGGCCAGCATCCACCAAAAAGCAAGTGCAGAAAAAAAAATTAACAGCAACCCAACATGACAGCTTTATGATATGCAAGATTTCTTAATAATCATGTCAACATACAGGTATGAAAATGATCTCTCATGGAATATTTTCCCTTTAGATGGAGTATCGAAGACTACTTAACAATGGACAACACTGTAAACAAAACAAATCCTGATTTCTCCATCTTGTGGGGGGCACAAAAATGGAATGAATAAGCAATTTATAAAACTAATCACGCTACCTTGATGAAATATTTCAAGTCCTAAAGAGGCCGGTGCCCCAGCCTCCTATATAACGCTACTACATATCTAAAGTTCCTTCATTCTCAATTAAATGTGGTGGCTATATGCCCAATTTCATAATAGATTTTTTCACAAGGCTTGCCATTCCCTCGTGAAGTACAATAGATCAAAAAATTCTAGGGCAATGCACCTCTTAGACTGATGTAAAGTAATGTATTTTCATTTAGGGTGTTATTTGACTTTTTAGTAGAGATCTACTCCGATGCCTACTTTTAATTTGCCAATCAGATCATACATAACCACAAAGCAAGTTGTACCTACACATATTTATTCAATTGACTTCAAAGTTCAAACATGAAAAAGTTCAACAGTAATCCTATTAATTTTGTCAAGTCAAACCACAAATTCAATCAACAACAATGTGAGTGTCTTTTTTATTTAGACTTCATTGTAATGAAATTCTTTTTAAGTTAATGTGCCAGATTTTGAACACACAGCAGTATGTTGTCCATCTATGTAGTGGAAAATCATGTTCAATGGAGCCCAGTAGATGCTTTGGAATATGCAATTGGGTGATTCTCCGAACGACATGAAAAAATGGAAAAAGTAAAAAAATTGTTGCAACAATAGATGATGCAATATTATATACCTCATAATACAACTCAACAGCATCGCGAGTGTAAGCATTTTCTTTGTCCCAAGGAAGAGGTGGACAACCTTCTGAAAACATGTGTGGAAGCTAAGGATGAACAAAATCCTTCAAGATAATGGAAAAACAATAATTTGCTTTAGTTACATAAGAATGATTAGTCAAGCTGGTGATAACACAGAGAGAATCACATTTGGTTTTACAATTTGAGTTTGTCATTTTTGTATCTATATATAACAAAGGATATCATATCAAGATGAGCTGAAAACATGTCGGTCTCACAGAACTCCTCTATGAAGTCACTGGACATGACCTCTGGATACAGAAGAAGAACTGCCCAATGAAGAATATTATTTTTGTCTAATGTTGGTTTTCTTAGTCCAGTGAGTTCTTGATACATGGGCTTCGCAATCTTCAATCCTCTAGTCTCAAATGCAGAAACAATGGTCTGTATAGTTCACAATAAGTGGTGAGAAGCTACCAGAATGAACAATTGTTATATGCAGATAAAAATATAGTAGTAGACCTTAGCAGTAGATACTGCTTTAGACACTTCAGCATCACGACGTTCCATTTCTGATTTCTGTATATCGATGTGCCTAGCAAGCTTCTTCAGTTCTTCATTAGATGACGAGTGCTGAAGACCTTTCTCGCAGAGCCCTTTTGCTTCAGCCAGAAGATTCAGAAAAACTGATGCTTTTGCTGCTCGATAAAGAGCCTATGAATAAAGTACAAATAGATGTCACATACTCCAAGAACATGCAGCACTGGCAGGAAACTATGGCCTGTAATTCGACACATGATGAATAGTAAGAAAAAGCATACCTTTACATTACTTGGATTTAATTTGATTGCATCTTCTGCATCCTGGAGTGCACGTCTATAATTCCCCAAGAGAAGATTGACATGAGCTCTGTTTGAACAGAGAATTGACTGCTCAGCATCACTTAAAGCATTCTGATTTATTGCCCTTGTATAGCAATCAATAGCATCCGAGTAATGCTTCTTGCCCTTCTTGACATATTCATTACCTAATTCCTGCAATGTAGGAAGGACAGCCAACTTTTCATTTTCTCATGATAATTTGGGCAACAAAGATGCTGTGCCCCCTATAATCAAGGAAAAGCACAAAGGGTGATCTAAGCAGTAGACACCCAAAAGGACGGAAATAACAATTGTCATGAAGTGCATATAGCTGTCCAAGAAGGGCATTGCTCATAACATTTCTACTAGGGGTGTGCATCGGTTGGTTCAGTTCGGTTTTATGTATTATCAATTCGGTTTATCAATTTTCGGTTTTTAAAAATACTAAACCAATAAGATAATTTTGGTTTTTTTTTTTTTTTGTCTCAAAAAAAATATATTTTTTTATAGGTTTTCGGTTTATCGGTTTTGGTCCTTAACGGTTTGGTTTTCTGTTTAACCAATAAGAAAATGCTTATAAAACAAATATATGACTTCTCCAACAATTTGGCACAAGGCAATAATGTAACTTTACTAATGCTCATAAAATAGAAATAGTAATAACTAACAAGAAAAGAACTATACAAGTGTAACACAGAGAGAAATTAAGAGGAATAAGGTTCTTACTTTACGTTTCGACGTTTTGTATAGTGTAAAGTTATGAACTCAAAGTCACTAAGAAGCGTAGATTGAAGATTAAAAGGCAAAAACAGTAACTAGTAAGGTATTGAGATTAATCATCATATCATCATATCCTATTATACTAAAAGTGGGAAGCCACATAGTTAAAAGTTGAAATACCATTTTGCACCTATCCTAATTTAAAATATTATAAAATATCTAATAAGTTAAATATTAATTAATCAAAATATTTTCACAACCTTTTTCACCTCCTAACTTAATTGCAAGATAAAGAGTCAAAATGTGACCATATTCATCTGTAAGTTATGAAGTGACAGTTAATTATCTAATTGATTATCATATTAAGGGTAAAGACTATGTCATAAAAGTTACTCTTGTAACAGTAAAGACTTAAGAGGACCAAATCAATGATATAATTGGAATAGGAAAAGATAATATTTCAAATAATAGTTATTAATAACATATGGAAGGGTGTATTGATCTACTGATACAATTGTTATTAAGACAAATATGCAAGGGTGTATTGATCTATTGGAATTATTGGCATTTCAATTTAGCTAATTTATTTTATAACAGTTACCCATAATTTATCATGAAATATAAATGTATGCCTCCATATTTATTTGAGGTTTATCCAACTTCAATTACATTTTTTAATTCACATAACTTTCTATTATCAGTACACTAAAAGGAGAAGAAATTAAAAAGATACATTCAATATTTATTTTGATATAAAGGTAAAGTTAAAGTTGCATTCAATATTTTATTAATTAGCATTAACTAAATTCACATGATAATTATCAAATACATACAAAAAGTCATTATTTACTACTATAAATATAGAAACTTATGGTTCAAACAAGTGCTTCAAGTTTAGGTGAAAAAGGATAAATACCGACAAAAAGAGACCACTGATTAGTGCAGATGAGAGCATAAGGACATCAAGGAATCAACTTTTTTCATTATGTTAGATAACATAGTATAAAATTTTAGCAGCATCATAAGATCTTTGTGTATATATGCTGTTGTAAGATAACTGATAACTTAGTTTTTACTCTTTTGGTATGTTTTGATTTTTAGTTCATAACACAAATAAAGTCCTATAATATATTGTACCAAATTTATCATTTACGATATGTTAGACGATTAAGTTTTTGGGATAAACGCGCAAAGCACGTTTCTAGAACTAGTATTTAATATTTATGAACGGGTAAAGTAGTAATTACTACAGTCTTAATGGTTATCAATTTACCCAATAACCAATATTCAAGAACCGAACCCGAACCAATAACCCAATAACTTTTTTTTATAAAATCATTAAAAACTCGTTATTCCAATAATCATAAACTAATAGCACTTTTTTTTATTCGGTTTATTGGTCGGTTCGATTTTTGCACACCCCTAATTTCTACCATACCTCATCAATATGGATTAGAAAAGCTAGTGTATTCACTTACAGATTGAACAATCAAACATGACTGTCATAGGAAAAAATCATATTTAAACTGAGAAACCTGAAAAAAAAAAAAAAGAGACACATAAAGGAATGTTATGGCTTGTTGTATTTGGAATATTTATTTATTTTTGGAAAAATATGAGACAGAAGAAAAGAAAAGAAAGGGAAATGGGAGGATTGGAATAGTCGACGTGTGCAAAAGCTTGCCTGAACACCACCATTAACAACATTAAAGAAAACAAGAAGGGGAAATGAGAGAAAGCAACTTGAAGGTTCTGTTGGTACAAGGCAACAAAGAGGTACTCCGCAATCTAAGATTTTTCCTCTGCCCATGCCCCATAGAAAGGAACAGAAGTTCTTGTAGTGACTCCATTTGTATCGAGGAAATAATGTGTCCTATGTTAATTAGTATCAAATGGTACTGATTCACTTCTTTTGTACTATACTAGACAAAATGGTAAAGCTCTTCTTTTTGCCTCCTGTCTACTCTTCTCTCTTTTTTTCTTTTTTTTTTTTTTTTTGCGTGGATTTTTCTACTTGTTTCTCTTAATACAAAGATACAAGTAAAGAAGCACTTGAATGCAGCTAAGGTCAACAAAACTCAGGATCCTCTTCCTCAAAGCACCGTTGATTTTTGAACTCATCTAATACCAGTTCGCTGTAAGTTCAGTTGGTCTCTAGAAATCATGCAGCGGGAGTGGCAACTTGGATCAGAGTCGGATTTAGAATTTGAACTCTATGGCTTCAATTTTAAAGTTCTTAGCGTTGAACCTATTATATTTTTAAAATTATGGGTTTAGACCTTTTTATTGAATATTTACACAAAAATCTATACTCCACACCAGAAGTACTTGTTCAGATGAACCCGATGTTATGAGTCTGCATGCATCAGCCTCCGATGGGGATTATCCTACCAAACTGCCGATGTCTCAGGGTGAATTCGATATTTAGGAGAATGTTTTCCATGACAAATTTCACAGGTATAAAAGTAGGTCCATATAATAATCATAGTTCATACAAAGTGGAGGATTCATTTTGCAGATATTGGTTTAACACAGGAATTGATAACAATATATAAATGTTGGTTCAAACAAGGGAGCAAGGTAGGATTATTTGTAACAAAATATGACTTTCTGACAGAAAATATTTTCAATATTTTAATGTAATCAACTAATCATACACTAGAAATGGTTTCAATGAGGAAAACATCTTCTCAGAAAATATTTTCCATCATAACTGCATTATCTCTCACAAGTATATCTCTCTGAACAACCCTATGAAGTTTGCCTCAATTCTGCTTTTTTTTTAATAAGTAAAGGGATGGTTGGGAAGCTTGCCTCAGTTCTGCATCCCAGGCGAATCTTTCATGACTAAAGATTTTTGTACCAAGGCCCAAGCTCATGACTTCAAAGCTCAAAATGAACACACTGTATGGAGTAAAAATCCACGTTTTGCTAACAGATGAACCAGACTATGACAGAAGGCTGAATTGGAACCGAAGAGACGTTGATCCTTCTTGCCTCAGACCCAGCAAATACTGGGATCGCAGCCCTTAGTATGATTTGGACCGATTTCACCTCGCTACAACCGAAGCCGCTCTGTAACCGGGAAACCGTGGGATCTCTCCCTGAAAACGATCACTTTCCAGCTGAAGTATGCTCATAATGGCCATCGGCAGACCAGCAGTCAGCCTCGAGTCCAGCAGCTTGCCCCCAATCAACCTCGAGCCTAGCATCGGAGCTCAGCCAGGTCCTACTAAGTAGCCTTTTCAGAACTAGCGCGTAGTCTTTTCACACTATGACGTTGGTCTATAAAAGAACGCTCTCAGAAGAGTGAGGAGAGGGAGGAACATCTATGAAAACATCACGAGAAGACTCTCCAATTTGCTTCCCTTTTATTTTTCTTCGCCTTTGAGCAGTTAACATTCTTGTACTCAAACACTACTTTGTTAACTACTCTGTTGGTTTAGTAACTTAATCACCTTAATTCACCACCCTTAAATTAATTTATTTTTTTAACAAATCCTACTATTGTCCAGAATAACAATTTTTCTGGCAAACAATTTTATGAACCATATTTCTAGAAAGACTACAACATAAGGCATAAAATTTGAACCGAAGTGCTTCATCAGGCAGTAAATAGGAACAAAATAACAAACCAGTGTGATACAAGTTGTTCTACATACGATTGCATGAACAGAACACAAATGAATTAGAGTTATCAAAGTACAGTAAAGAAGTAAAAAAATAAAAACCTTAAGTTCAAAAGCGGTAGACTCTTTGAGAGCGGAGATAGCAACAAGATCAGCCAATTCTTTCTCTGTTTTAGGTTCTGAACCTGCCTCCATCCATAACGCCATTGTTATAGCAGCCAAAGCTTTTGATTGCTGGAACTTGTATCTGCTCGGAGCTGAAATTGAGACGCAGAGTTCAAAAATGAGACTTCGGGCTCCGGGCAGGACTATTGGGTCGAACTTTCTCGAAGATTTCGATAAATGGGCTTCTCCGGCCATGTCATTATTATTTTTATAATAAAAAATCAAAATTCTGAACAAACATTTTAACGGTGGTTTTGCAAAACCACCGTTAAAAAATAATGGCATGAATGAGCCTTTTCTTAAACGGTAATGGCATAGATGAACCAAACTTTTAACAGATGACATAAATGAACCTTTTCTGAAAGTTCGATGGCATATTTGAGCCTTTTCCCTTTATGTGATAGAAAAATTAAATAATAATTAAATTTTGTCATTCTGGACAACAATAGAATTTGTTAAAGGATTATGAATTAAGACGATTAAATTTATTATAATTGACTATAATTTAATAATTAATTTTGGAATCCGGCCATGATACTTTTATCTTTCATTCAAATTAAATGATTTATATTTCAATTTAAACTTAATTTTTTTCTAGTTTAATACTTCTTTTTTTTTTTGAATAATGCATAAATATCCCTAAATTATGGTACAAACTTTATGTGTTATGTAATAGTCATTCTAGAAATATGGTGCATAAAGTAGTTTGTCATTCTGGACAACAATAGAATTTATTAAAGGATAGTGAATTAAGGCGATCAAATTACTTTACCTTTTGGCTAAACAAACAAAGTAGAGATTGAATACAAGAATGTAAATTGCTTAAAGACAAGGCAAAATTAAAGGGAAGGACTGAGGTGCAGACATACATGAAAAGATTCAAACAAACATAAGTATAATTAACTTTACATGCACTCACTAAAAAAATGTTAAGCTTTTCATTTACAAGTCATATTAAATATCATACGAAAATGTTTGATGTTTAGCCTTCACAAGGACAAACTTTCATGTGAATGCCTGAAGTTATCAAACTTCATATTAGGAATGGAGTTATGTTAGTACCAGGGTGATAAATAAAACAAATTTCGTCGATAATTACATTATATGTATAAATTAAATATTATTTAATATTACCCTTATTAATAAATGAACAACCAAAGGACGAACACTGCATCTTCTAATTGTACTAAAGGTAGTACTTATTGTACAGTAAATTTGGCCTTTTTTCATTGATGAATAAACATGTGTCTCACTATTGTTTCACTTTGTGCACTACTTTTGCACTATCTCTCCTACACAATTCTCTAGATTTCTATTTCCTCCTCTGCTAAGCTTGGTCTATATTTTTTTGAGAAAGTTAACTGCTAAGCTTGGTCTATATTCTCAACTCTTCTTTGTAGATCTCAATTCTTCAATAACTAATCTGTGTTGCTGAGTGTCTTCTCTTTGTGTAGGCACTATAAATCTCTCTATAAATGTTTCCTCAAGATTTTTGTTTGATTGTTTGTTTGTTCGGAAAGCCTTACCGAAGTATTTCTTCATGATCTCAGGTACATATATTGCTATTGGCTTTTCTATGTTCTTCACTCTTTTTAAGTGTATAATTTTCTATTGATGCTGTATTATGTTGTCACTCTTTCTTTTGTTTTGTTTATTTATGTTCTTATGCTTTGACTATATACTTTTATGTAGGAGTTTGAAATTTTTATTTAAAGTTTGAAAATTGGGTTAAGAGCGAAATTCTCCTCCCATTTCAATACTAAGCAATCAAAAAAATGATAAATGCACATGGATTTTTTTTCCCCTAGAGCTTGTGGAAATTAAGGGTGTAAGAGTGAAATTGTTCAAAATTATACAAGTGAATAATTTCAGTAAACATGGATTATATAAGTCAATTGGAGTAACATGATCCATAAGATTCTTTTTATAGGATCATTTTATTTAACAAAATTTTGATATTTGAATTTATTAATTCTTGATTGTCCAGTTCTATATACATTTGTCTGTTAACATGATTATGTTATTCTATTTTTAGGATATCAATTTTCGCTTTCTAATTTTCCTCTTTTTCTCTCTGTTGATAGTAGTAAGGTCACAATTTTCTTGAAAAATAAGTGTGGTCTCCATTTCTTCATTTCTATAATATTTTCCTAACTGTAACGCCGAGCTCCGTTGTTGAAAACTTGGGTCCCATTAATTATTGAGTTCTTGTTAAAGGAAAATGCTCCCAGGCACTAGTTTCGAGACAATCTTCTGAAGTCCCTTCTGGACTTTGGTGGTTTTTTCTTTTCTCCAGTGGACTTCTTTCACCGGAATACCACTCTCCTTTCTTTCTTTCTCCTTCTTTCTTTCTCTCTTTTTTAACTCCATTGCTGTTCAGATGGACAACAGAGTTTATTTCAGATCTGGGGGAAAGTCTTACGACATCACGAAGTCTAGATCAAAAGCTGCAGTATGGTATGTCTGGGTTGAAGATGCTAGGCATCACATGAGGAGAATGGTTCTTAGCAGGGGAGCACTCGGTTGGGTCTGCAAAAGGCTAACAGAGGCTTCAGGGATCAGAGGGAAAGCAGCCAAGCCATGGAGATGCAGGGATTTCTCAACTAACTTCTTTATAGCTTTGAAATTCAATCAATACGGGAGATACCTGTCTCTAATTTCAGTTAAAGGTAGTGACAGAGCAGTTATTATACTCCCAGAAAGTGCATTCAATGAGGGGTGGGAGAAGTTAGCTAAGAAGATAGAAGCATTCATTAATAGGGGTATAAAACAAACAAAAACATTTAAATTATCAGGGGAGGCAGACTATGCTGCTAACAAGGGGGGGAAGGAGTTATAGAGACGTTTTGCAGAAAAGTAAATGGACCAGAATTGAGACAGAGCTAGCAGAAGAAGGCAGCATGTTGAAAGCTCGAGTCCAATTAGAAGACGAAGACCTATTGGCACGTTGTCTAGTGGGGATTTTTTTTGGAGAAGATGATACACCCACTAGAAATGATGTAAGAAGATGGGCCCAACAGACTTGGAATGGAGCGCATGGAGTCCAAGTCTATGATATGAATGGAATTTTATTTCTTTTTGAATTTCAGTCCAGAAAAGCAGCAGAACATGTTTTGATGGGTGACTGGAGAAGACAAGGGAGCAGATTAAAGCTTCAATGGTGGTCGCCGACCATTAAGGCTTTCCCAATAACCCATGAGTTCGAATGGTTTTGGATTCGAGTTCTAAGGTTGCCTCTACATCTCTGGTCAAGGCCAATAATGAAGGAAATTGGAGATCGGTGTGGCGGCTAGATCGAGACAGAAGAAGAAACCGATCTCAAAAATCATCTCCGTTGGGCTAGGATTCGTGTCAAAGGTCCGGCAAAAAAAATTCCGGCATCCATCGAGATCACCGATGAGGAGAACATCTTCTCTCTACCTATATGGGTAGAATCGCCGGTGACTTTTCGTAAAAAGTACGATGAGGAAGGAAAGAGACGAGGGTGGGTATCGAGGGAGGAATCCATCAGATCTGTCTAGGTGCAGAGATATTCATAGGTCTGAAAAACTGCCGGTCAAACCTAACAAAGAGAAAAGATTTTTTTTGGTGAAAGAAGTCACGTGGGTGAAAAAGTCATAAGGGGGCCACTTCAGAACAAATAGAGGGCCACTTGGTTTTAAACCCTGGACCAAGTCATTTGGGCCTGTTAAAAGCCCAATTTTTAAAAGACTGCCCGACAGAACCTGAGCCTTTTATTTGCGATGTAAATCGCTAGGGAAAAAACCATGAAATTATATACTCCTCAACTGATCAGAATCTGATGGAAGAAACAAAGGTGAAAGATTCAATTAGCAATTATATACAATCGGAAGTCAACACACAGGTGAATGCTGAAGCATCTCCACAAATTTCGGAAGAACTAAATGAAGAAGAAGCTGGGCTATATGGGCAGAATAGTTCGAAACAAATCACAATTCTGGGTGACCCAACACCCATTCAATGTGATGCTTTGGAATGCAGCAAAGAAGTCGAAGGCAAGGCAACATAATGGGTACAGAAAAATCTGTTGAGGCTAAGCAAAGAGTTTGGAGTAGCTTTCGAGAGGTGCACAGAGGAAGCTTTCAATTTACTTCTGAAAATTGACCAGAGGAGGCTCAAAGAGTTAACAAAAATAGACCCCATCTCGGGGACATGTGAGAATCAGATGGTGCCCAAAGAAGTAAGGAATCTTATCGTTGATGTTAATTACAAAGATAAAGATTCCAGGAGTGCAACAAGGAGTAGAGGGAGAAATGCAACCTCACATTTATCATGAAGCTAAAAATATTTTCATGGAATGTGAGGGGGCTCAACATGGATACCAAGAGGAATTTGGTAAGGAGTAGAATACAACAAGAGGGGGTGGACACAATAGTGTTGGTGGAGACGAAACTTAGGGGGGAGGTAGGGGAGTATGTGCAGCAGTTGGGGGGAAACAGATGGATGGGAGGAATGTGGATGGAATCTTTAGGTAGTAAGGGAGGTATCTTGATAATGTGGGACAAAAGGAATTGGAAAGGGGAACCAGTAGAAAGAGGAAACCAAAGCATTACCTGCAGTTTCAGTGGTTTAAATCCAGACCTCATCTGGTTCATCATTGCAGTATATGCATCATGCGATGGGAGGGAGAGAAAGGTACTGTGGGAGGAGTTGGGTGCAATAAGGAGCTTCTGTGAAGGGCAATGGGTGGTATGTGGGGATTTCAACACCACAAGGTTGCCATCTGAAATGACCAATTGTGGCAGAATTTCTGAGGCTATGTCTAATTTCTCCAGTTGCATCAATGAATTGAAACTTGTGGATCCCCCTTTATTTGGGGGACCCTACACATGGAGAGAAGGGGAAAATCAGAAAAATGCTCCAAGAATCGACAGATTCATGTACTCTTTTCCTTGGGATGAGATGTTCACCCAAATTAGACAAAGTACTTTACCTAGTTTGGGGTCTGATCATAATCCAATAGCACTGTCCTGTGGGGATGACGTTTTGAAAAAATCATATTTCAAGTTTGAGAAGTGGTGGTTAAATGTGGAGGGTTTTCGAGACAAAGTTAAGGAGTGGTGGGGTTCCT